TCTCTCTCTCTCTCTCTCTCTCTCTCTCTCTCTCTCTAACCTTACCATACCATACCAAAATAAAGTCATTTCCATTACTCTTGACTTTGATTTATTTTTTACACAAGAGTTAACGACGTTCTGTTCCAAATATTGTCTGCTCTTTCTGTCGTACGTGCACACCATTACAGATCCCTTGGTGATCTAAAACTATATAGTCTGCAGCCAGCTTCCAGGCAAAACAGAATTTTCTACAAACTGAAAATATTAGATATGACCTCATGCAGTATCAAACACCTACTACTACTATGGGCTAGTGTCCTCTACTTCTTCTTTCCTATTTAAAAAAATCGATCATCTCTATCTCCCCTTCTTTTTTCTACTTATAACAGATTTTCCTAATAACTGAAAATATTACGTAGCGCCTTTAAGCACCTGCAGGTTCTCTGCTTCTTCTTTCCTGTCAAAAATCTATCTCTATCTCCCCTCCTTTTTTCTGCTTGTAATAGCCTCTTTCTCCTAACAATACAGCTCGTTCACTTTCATCTTACGGGAATAAATCGCTCTATTTAATGTTTCTGCCCATTAACCGACCAATATAATCTATATGTCACTGCAAACTAACGTTCTTTGATGAATGCACCCACCTAAATAATTTGAAAAGTTAACATATTTTCCTCAACACCACTCTTTAACGTTCGTCTAGAAAACATAGTAGGTAAATTCCTCTATGTGGAAGGTGAACGAGCTATTATACTATAACTATCCTTGTGTGGAAATCAGGCTCTTGTCAAAATAACTACTTTTGCTAAAAAATGTATATTATATTTTGGAGTCAATATTTTTACCTTTGGACCACCTATTTCAAATATTTTTTACTATAGCTCGTTCACTTTCATTTAACAGGAATAAAAATCCCCCAATTTAATTTTTCTGCGACTGTGTTCCGAAATGTTTTCTTTGATATAACCATACACTAAAACGTTGAAAAGTTGACATGTTTTTGTCTAAGAAAGCATAGGTAAAGTCCTCCATGAGCCAGACGAAAATGAACGAGCTATTATACTACAACTAGCATTGTGGTCAAATCAGGCTCTTGTCAAAATATTTACTTTTGCTGAAAAATGTATATTAAATTTTGGAGGCAAATTTTTCACTATTTCTACCTCTGAAACACCTATTTCAAATATCTCTACTTCTGCTCAGATAGATAATTCTACATTGTTACTATAGCTCGTTCACTTTCATTTTACAGGAATAAAAATCACTCAATTTAATTTTTTTGTGACTTAATAAGAGACCAACAGATTCTATAACTATAAGTCACTGCAAACTAAATGTTTTCTTTGATATAGTCATACACCTAAAATATTGAAAATTTCACATGTTTTACTCTACACTACTCTTTAACGTTCGTCTAAGAAAGCGTACGTAAATTCCTTTATGTGCCAGACGAAGGTGAACGAGCTATTATACCATTATTACTAGCATTGTGGTGAAATCAGGCACTTGTCAAAATAATTAATTTTGCTGAAAAAACTTTTGAGGCAAATTTTCCACTATTTTTACCTCCTATTTCAAAAAAAAAATCCGCTCTGTTTAATTTTTCTCTGACTTAAGTAGAGACCAACAGAATCTATAAGTCACTGCAAACTAAATTATATTCCGAAATGTTTTCTTTGATATAGTATAGGCATACACCTTAAGCATTGAACAGTTGACATGTTTTTCGCTTAAGAAAGCATAGGTTAAGTCCTCAATGAGCCAGACGAAAGTGAACGAGCTATTATAATACAACTAGCATTGTTGTAAAATTAGTGGATTTTGCCGATCAAAGCTTTGGAATTCATCAAATTTTTCACTATTTTTACCTCTTGAGCACCTCCTATTTCAAATATCTCTATTTCTGCTCAGATATTTTATTACTATAGCTCGTTCACTTTCATTTTTCAGGAATAAAAATCCGCTCTGTTTAATTTTTCTGCGACTTAAGAAGAGACCAACAAAATATATAAGTCACTGCAAACTAAATGTCCCGAAATATTGAAAAGTTGACATGTTTTCATCTAAGAAAGCATAGGTAAAGTCCTCAATGAGCCAGACGAAAATGAACGAGCTATTATACGACAACTAACATTGTGTTCAAATCAGGCTCTTGTCAAATTAGTGGATTTTGCTGATCAAAGCTTTGGAACTCATCAATTTTTTCACTAGTTTAACCTCTGGAACACCTCCTGTTTCCAAGAAAGTAGCTCAGAGCGCTTTAGATTGGAATACCCATTTTCAAAACCTTTTTTCTCATGCAATACATGTACATATTTACACACACGAACTGTTTTCATTCAGACATAAGCAGGTTCTTGTATATCAAAAGCAAAGTGTAATGTCTTCCTCAAAAGCAAGAATAACTCCACATGCCCAAAAATTGACGAGCACCTGATTCCACCACATAGTGATACAGATAATAATAGTAACTGTAATTAAACATATTGTTTGTTTTGCTGGGTGTTTAATGGCGCTCACAACTGCATACGGTCAAATTAATTTTGCCCAGGAGGCAGCCAAAGCCTACATACTATTATCGATTTCGGACCACCAAGGTATCTTTAACATGCGCAACTTGCACACGCGACCTCCGAGATTTTTAGATCTTGCCTACCCCAAGATCTACTACTACTAAGAGGTGTGCCTGAAAGTCAGCAATAGAAAGGCGGCAGAAGCCCAGAGCAGGTAGTAGAGGGGGGGGAGAGAGAGAGAGAGAGAGAGAGTGAGTGAGGGAGGAGGGAGGGGGGGGGGGGGGAACACAGGACGAAGACGAAAGTAGATGATAGAACCTGGGTAGAAAGAACATTTTTCGTCGCATTTAGTCAGGTTTCGAACCTTAGACCAATACATTAAATAGGAGGCAGACACCGTAACCTCTCGACCGCGAGAGCCCCTAGTAATAGTACATGAATAATAGTACAATAATGATAATAAAAATAATAATCATCATCATCATAATGATAATAATAATCTTAATAATAATAATCATCATCATGATAATCATTTATACGATAATGACCAAACTGTCTGTGTCCACAGGGCATGACTGTCCTTTTGGAGACGGACGTTAAACTACAAGGTCCCGCCCCTTCAATAACCTAATAGTGTTGAATATGATGTTAATCAAATCCCATTTCACCCTTTCCACAGGGCATGACGTACCTACACAGCACTGACGTCAAGAGCCACGGACATCTCAAGTCCAGCAACTGTGTAGTGGACAGTCGGTTTGTGGTCAAGATCACAGACTTTGGACTGCACTACTTCAGGGAGAAGGAGGAGGAGTTGGAGGAGGATACCTACGCCATTGAGAGAAGTGAGTGAGGGAGGAGGAGGAGGAGGAAAAAGAGGGGGAAAGGGAGGAGGTGGAGGAGGATACCTACGCCATTGAGAGAAGTGAGTGAGGGAGGGGAGGAGGGAGGGTGAGGAAAAAGAGGGGGAAAGGGAGGAGGAGGAGGTGGAGGAGGATACCTACGCCATTGAGAGAAGTGTGAGAGGGAGGGGAGGAGGGAGGGTGAGGAAAAAGAGGGGGAAAGGGAGGAGGAGGAGGAGGAGGATACCTAGGCCATTGAGAGAAGTGTGAGAGGGAGGGGAGGAGGGAGGGTGAGGAGGAGGTGGAGGAGGATACCTAGGCCATTGAGAGAAGTGTGAGAGGGAGGGGAGGAGGGAGGAACGGAAGAGGAGGAAAAAGAGGGGGGGGAAAAGGAGGAGATGGAAGAGGATACTTATGTCATTGAGAGAAGTGAGTGAGGGAGAGGGTGGAGGGAGGAAAAGAAGGGGGAAAGGGAGGAGGTGGAGGATACTTATGTTCTTGAGAGGAGGGGTGAGAAAAACTAGTGAATTCCATTCCCATTTGGAGAAAATTTTTATCGAGTATCTCCCTAAGCCTGCCGTTCCCATCTCAGTCTGTCCGGTTTGACGCTGAAAGGCTCGGAGAAGCAACGAAACCAACCTCCGAAATTATCTAAATTGTGTTGATAGGGGTGTAAAAACTCATTTCTAATACGCTCAGTACCCTCATTTGAGAAATTTGATGTTAAACATTTTGAGCTTCGCAACATGTCAAGCTCATTCTAATACAAATTTTTTTTGAGTATCTTGATAACGACTCTGAAAAATCTTACGATTTTATATAGAGCAGACAGAACATTTGGTTTCTGACCTCAAAGTCTTTTAGTAGTGACTCAAAAAATGGTGAAATGGTATGAGTGTAATGCCTCTGTCATCACTGTTGTGACTCAAAACCCCCAAAACTGTCAGAACTTCCATAAAAAATATCAGATAAAACTTTGAAATTCCAAGGTAGCATCATCTTCATCATCATCATCATCATCATCATCATCATCATGTGCCTTTCTCACCCTGAGTCAGGGTATAGGCCACGAACAAACACTTCCCACCTGTCTCAATTTCAATTCTCGGCTCTCCTAGGTAACATCATCAGGGTGTAGTCCACGAATATAATACTTTCCAACTTTCTCACTTCTGTCCTATCCTAAGTAAAATCATCAGGGTACAGGCCACGAACAAACACTTTCCAACTTTTTCAATCCTAAACTATCCTAGGTAGCGAATCCTTCTTTAAAAAAATAGTCTCCCCCCCCCCCTCTTGATCAGGTCGCCTGTGGACTGCCCCAGAACTTCTGCGCATGAGCAGCCCACCGGCCGCGGGCACACAGAAGGGAGACGTGTACAGCTTCGCTATCATCTGTCAGGAGATTGTCTACAGATACGGCGTGTTCTACCTGCAAAATCTGGAGGTATCGCCCAAAGGTACGTCTCTTTGTTTGTTTGTTTGTTTGTTTGTTTAAGTAAAGAGAATGTCATGTTCATTTAGTGCTGGGAATAAGTCAGACAGACAGACAGTTTGTTTGTTTGTTTGTTTGTTTGTTTGTTTGAGTTAAACTGTTAGGTTTATTTAGTGTTGGGACTGGGAATAAGTCAGACAGACAGTTTGTTTGTTTGTTTGTTTGTTTGTTCGTTTTTGAGTAATGAATAAGTCAAACAGACAATTTGTTTGTTTGTTTGTTTGAGTAAAGAGAATGTTATGTTCATTTAGTGCTGGGAAAAAGTAAGACCGACACACAGAAACAACAGAGGGAAAGTAAAAAAGTTGGACCTACAAGTGGCCCCCTCCTATCACCTATAAAAACCCTAACATAAATCTGGAGGTGTGGGATGAAGCCTTACTTCCGACCAGACTCCTAACGGGGTTTCGAGCCTTAGCTCAGTCTTATGTTGTGTCCCTGGGAAAGCCCTTTACACGAAACTCCCTTTTGGCTCGGTCCTTTCCGAGACGGATGTTAAACTTAGATGGTCCCGTCTCTTAAATTATGACCAAATAGTGTTGATAGGGGCGTTAAACCTATACCATTTCACCATTTTCACCGATCGTCTATCGTCCTGATGTCTCCTCCTCCTTTTTTTTGTGGTCATTTTCCTCCTTTTATTATGTCATCTCTCCTCCTCCTTTTTTGTTTTTTCAACTCTCTTGTAACATCTCTTTATTTCTGGCACTTATATGTCCTATAGTGCAGTAAAAAATTAGCAGTGCATCTTACTGTCAAATATCTCAACTATCAAACAAAAGACTCTCCAGCTTTTGCACAGTGACTTGTATCAATTTATCTTAATAAATCCATTTTTTTTAAAGCCCTGTTAGCTCTATTCTTGAAAATTCCCTAATAAATACTAATAAAACAATCCCAGTGGGTGGTTTCTACTGATTATAAAAGGTCTACAGCAGGGACGAAATCGCTTTTAAAAGCAAGTTCGTCATTTTTTTAAATCGCCAGATTATCTTTATTGCATGCATGTTTTGAGAACTTTTAGTGTGAAAAAGTGTTCACTAACAAATTAATTTATTGTAACTAGTTTCGCCAATCATTAGTGTCATTGGTGAGCTGTGACATAACCCATATATGTTTATACAAAATGTGTATGAGAAGCGGGAAGTGCTGTGAACAATTCCATTTTATATAAACTTAAGAAAATCTTTTTAGTCTAGCCTCAATTGTTGTGGAAAAATATTATTAAATTAAGACAAATTTAAACAAACTGCAGGGTAAAGTATGGGTCACATTGATTCACCCGTTTAAGAGATATTTCAGAATAAGTTGCACCACTAAATTTTGACCACACTATGACAGTGTTGCAAGTGCCGTAAAAGACTTCATAATCATGATAATACATGGCATTTACATAGCGCATTTCCTTAGCATAGTTTACAATGCTCAGTGCGCTTTACAAGACATATATACATAGTCTATAAAGGCTTAAAAATACATACGGCATTTATGCGCATGGGCATATAAAATGACACAAGTATGTAGGCCTATATATCAATATCTAGGTACATGAATACAGGAAAATATACAGGAGCAAAAAAATGAGCATAAAGACAGTTCATAAATAAATATGTGAGGCAGTGTGGTAAAATCAGGCGCTCGTAAAATTTTTATTTTTTATATATTTTTTAAAATTTGTATTGTTACTTATAAGAGTTGTTTTAAATCGCAAATATATTTACACTGCATTTTTAATATTTTAGCATTTTAAAGTCTAATAGTTAACCAATCGTGCAGTGAACTTTTGCGAAAGTAAACAATTTGTGTTTCGCGCGCTCATATGACCTTACGCAGTTGCGAGCGCCGTAAAACCCTGTACTACTACTACTACTGCTCGCAAAAATAAGAAAATCAAAGATACTGGCATTTTCCCACTGGTTTATGCACTTTTCATGTAATTTTTGTTTTTTTGACTCAACACCTTTTATGTCCATATCAAAACACATTTCTCTGTGGATTTTACTGAAAACGAAATATTTAAATGTTCAGTTTCCATAGACTCTCAAGCCTAGGAAATAACCAAACTTTGGAAGACATCTTCTCGCTAACTTTACTTTACTTCCAACACCAGGCAACCCCCCCCCCCCCTTTTTTCAGTCCCAAATATCTCGACTTCTATTCAACACAGACAGATAGTCTTTTCCTGCCAAATGCAAGACAAATGAACGAACTTTAAGATGATATCAATAACTCTACACGCCCCAAAATTGACGAGCGCCTGTTTCTACCGCGTCGTGACACACATAATATGTGAGGCGTGCTGACAAAATGAGTTTTTTCTCGACTTCTCCCAAACCAAGAATGGAGATATCGGCCGAAAATCGACACTGGTGTCAGATTTATAGATTTTTCAATTGATACCATTTCTTCTAGTCTATCTTGTCTTTTTTGATTTCATACTTATAAATTGTACAAACTCTACTTACAACTTGTACAAACTTCACTTACAAATTGTACAACCTCTACTGACAAATTGTTCAAACCCCCCTTACAGATTGCAAAAACTCCACTTACAAATTGTATTAACCCTTACAAATTGTACAAACCCCCCTTACAAATTGTACAAACCCTCCTTACAAATTGTACAAACTCCCCTTACAAAATGTACAACCTCTACTGACAAATTGTACAAACTCTCCTTACAAAATGTACAACCTCTACTGACAAATTGTACAAACTCCACCAACAAAGTTTTTATATCAATTTCCATATAAGGCTAAAACTCCACCTAGACTATAAAGTTGTTACATCAATTTCCATAAGGATAAAATCCGAGAAGTGACTCATTTCGTCAGCACGCTTCACAAAATTCTATAATTATCTTCTTTCTCCGCGGTATTTCCCCAGAAATCACGGACAAGCTGAAGACGGGCATGAAGCCTTACTTCCGGCCCACGCTGGAGGAGTTTGACTGTCCCAACGACGAGCTGGCTGGGGTCATACGTCGGTGCTGGTCCGAGGAGGCCGCTGACCGGCCGGACTTCCAGTCCCTGAGGACCATCATCAAGAAGATGAACAAGTGAGAGGGGACCAGGGAGGAAGGGAGGGAGGGAAGGGGTGGGTGGGGGATCAGTTAGTTCACTTTTAACTATTAGTTGTTTTGTACATTAGAGTTTTTAGTTTAGTTTTGTTGTTTGTTTGTTGTTTTTGTTTGTTTTGTTTTCTTTTTGTTTTTTGGTCCTCTCTCTCTCTCTCTCGATACATATTTATCTATCTATCTATCTGTCTATCCCTCCCTCTCACACACTCTCTCATTCCTCCCCCCAGAGACGGAGACAAAGGCGACATATTGGACAACCTGCTGTCCCGTATGGAGCAGTACGCCAACAACCTAGAGGCTCTGTCTCTCTCTCCTTCTCTGCCCCCTTCCTTCTCCCTTCCACCCTCTCCCTCCCTCCCTCCCTCTTCCTCCCTCCCTCTCTCACACTCTCTCATTCCTCCCCCCAGAGACGGAGACAAAGGCGACATATTGGACAACCTTCTCTCCCGTATGGAGCAGTACGCCAACCACCTAGAGGCTCTGTCTCTCTCTCCTTCTCTGCCCCCTTCCTTCTCCCTTCCACCCTCTCCCTCCCTCTCCCTCCCTCCCTCTC